TGCAAGTGTAGTGCGGTGTGGGGGCAGTCGATTCTGAGAAAAAACCAGACACGTGATCTCTGAGATCTAATGTGGAATTGTTCTAAGGAACATGCCATGTTTACTGTTCATTGTCTAAATTCTTGGAAGGCTTCCTGAAAAGCAGTTAGTGAGCCAGAGCAGCCCAAATCACTAACATTTCAAGATTCCTAATGCCTTTCGCTGATCCTCTCTCCCTCGCATTTGGTCCCGCATTATTTCGCCCTGTGCGAACATGCATGTTGTGTAATTTCACAGGAAATGACAATAGGTGTGGAAAAATGTTCTCAGCTGCATTATTACTTCTGTGTGCACTTTGAGAATAACAAAATAAATTTAGTACAGTAATAGAGCACAAAAGAAAAACAAAAGAAAGAAAAACGCCACACATACCTCCAGAAGATATATATTATCCGTCAATCTGTTTTCCTCGAGAGAGGCAGGAAGGTTGCCAAACCTACTGGTGTTTTCCAAGAAAAAAACTTGGCCTCATTACATATGAAATGAGCAGGAGATTCGAGGAACTGCCCAACCCTGTTTAGTGGGTTTGGCAAATACCTTTTGTGCTGCAAACGTGTGGCACTCTAATAGTTGAGCTGTAAAACAGCAGCGGTGAAGCAAGACAAGAAATGTGAACCTTCTTGTGCCCACTTTAGCATGAAGTCTAAAGGTCTTCACATGCACTGGGAGCGAACATAACGAGTAAAACAACTTAAGCAAACACCTTTTGTAGCTAACAGCAAACACACCGTAATGTATGAAACTCCCAACTTCACTCTCTCCCCGATGAGGAAGTATGCGGACAAAGCCTGGTCACTGGGGCCAACAAATTTGCTTAGCATTTACCTGCTTTTCGTGAACTCAGAATGTATACTTCTGTCATTCGAGTCTGCGCTGACTGTGACGGCACGTTTTACTCTCACTATCTGCGCTAGTTGCGCACATTACATAAACCCTGGCTCCATCGCCTTGCTGCCATTCTGTTTAATCCCTAAAAGAGAACATAACCCGCTTTCTTTTTAGCAAAAATAAGTTGTCACATACACATGTGTTTACATACCCACAAGCTATGAAGAAGAAAAAAAAAATCCTGTCCCTCGTGCTTCTTTCCTTTAAATTAGGAGTGCCTGTGAATGAGCCGTGTTGTTTTCCAGCCGGTCGTGATGTCAAAACGGGCTAGGCTGTTACACGTCTTTGATGGAAGTTTCACATCTTATGGTGTCATCTGATCCAGAGTGGCAATACAATCAGTGCATTTGGCGGATCGCACCGGCGTGTCTGAACAAAGTTCACACTACGTATACACGTAGCTTTACAAACCATACATGCCCTGCCTGTATTTTTAGAATTTCCACGTCTTTCCCCAATTCCTGTTTTTACAGGCTTACTTTTATTATTTGCTTTGACTTAATCACCCATGCTGCTTTTGACAGCTGTATCAGGGCAGAGCTAAAAACCAGAGGGATGGCACACTGAATGAGCGAGTTACCATGTGGCAGTTGCCTCTGCAGAAGTCAGCGAATGCTAAATTTCCTCTACTGTATTTAAATTGTTTAGCCGTACAGCACATTTTATGCCGTCATCCTAGCTGAGGTATAATTTTGGAGTGTGCAACGTTAATTGAGGCTTTACATTTGAAAGCAGGAGCCTGCTAAGGTCAGGCAGCATCAAGGGTGAAATCTTAAGTCAGACAATGAGGAAGGGGTGCAGTCTAACATAAGATGCATCTAACTACCAACAATTTTACAGGCGATTCCTTTCCTGAGCAAGTATGGATAAAACTTACCAAACAGATAGGGAATCTGAACAAAAACCAAAAAAGGGGGGGATTAACCGGCCCCTAAATAGACCACTGCTTTCCCTTACTGAATCAGTGTGAGGGACTGCTTATTTTAAAGCACTTACTATTAGCATAAGGACATTATTTTCCTCACTTACCCTCTACATGCACATCTAGTTGGCAAGAAACACCAAAGTCAATTTTACAGTGTTAGCAGTACTGGGTTAGGGAGGAAGGAGTCATTTTACTCCAGTATTCTTTAGAAACACCACAAAAAGGAGAAACTACATGGCAAAAATATTTGCATGTTCCCCAGAAAGATCCAAATACACGCATGAATGTTAAAGTCTGAGCACAAACAAGCTTACCTCCACATTTAATTCATGTCACCATGTGCTGGTGTATGTAGATAAATTCAGCTAAAGGAAAAATGTATATGTGACCACCCGATGCGTATCTTTCCCAGAATTCCTGAACGCTTACTAGAAATGCCATGTCTTCACAGTTACTCTTAACTGTTTAAACCTCAGTTCCATGAACAGCAGCCTACATGCCTGAACATACCAGTAGGAGCAGGTTTTTTTCGTCCATCAGGGTTTAACTCGAACAAGTAGCATGTGTGTTACCAAGAAAGCACAGAAGTAACCTATGAGAATACAATGTATGACTGTTGGTATCGCATACCATCAGCAATGACTCATGCTTGTCTCAGGAAAGGAAAATCATAGACACATAAACACACTCCCCACACAAGTTTACACGCATATACAGAGGAAAGTGCGCCAAGCATGAGGGTGAACACGCGCACACGCACACAGTAAATGAAGCCGCACTAGAGATGGTTGCTGATTTTTCATGCAGTCGACAGTGCCCTTGTTTAGTTATTCTTTATTAAAGCCAGGGTACAAATCTGCAGTTAAGATGATCTTTAAAGCCAGCAGCTGCAGAGTTTGATAACCAGCGTGCTACTGTAAATTACATTTGGGATTAACCCTACTTAAATATTTGCTGTGTAAGAAATAACAGGGGAAATCACCTCCAGGTGGCTTTCTACGACTGCTTTACACACTGATCAAGTGATGAAGTTAACGCCACCCCCAAATCTCTTGCAAATCTACAGAAGAATTTACTGGGAACGTCTACTTTGCTGCAGAGGACCTTTTAATTTAAAGGTCTGACAAGCGATGAGGAAACAGTCTCACCGTTTCCCCTCTCCTTCGGCCTTTTCTGTGCCAGCGTGTCCACATCAGTTTTATTTATTGAATCTCTCTCGCTGTCTCCTTGACACTCCCTACCCGCACAGCCCCCGGCCCCCTTGTGGAATGCTGTATAGAGAGAGGCCTATGGAGGAAGGGCATCCCGGGACACAGCTAGAGCACACACAGAGGCACACATACATACACTAACCCACTCACTGACACACGCAAATACATACACACTCTCTCTCACACACACACACACGCATGCACACATACACATACACACACAGACAAATACAGCTGTTGAGAGCCATCAGAACCCTTTGGCAGATGCCCAAATCAAAGACCACTGGTGTCGGAGGGCCTCCGTTCACAGAGAAATAGAGAACGAGGGGGGGAGGGGGGGCGAGGCTCCCATTTTCCATGTATGTTATCTTAAAGCCTGGACATAAAAACTTGTCAGCGTGAGCTAACATTACTGTGAACCGATTTCCTCGTAATGAAGGGAGGGTATGATGAACTGCCCTCATAAAAATCTGTCTCTGTGTTGTCTTAGGGCAACCAGGTACACCTATGGATGCATAATGATTTAAAAGGGCAGCTTAAAATTAGTGCAATGCACCTTCACACCTTCTTATATCCACAGGTTATATATTTATATATACACAGAAACAGATGGGTGTTAAAACATAAAGTTACACTGCAGTTTGAAAGGGTTCATTCACTTAATAACCCCACCTGAGTGTCACCTGTTGAGGACATGGAAGCTTAATATGAAGTAGGCTGCATTGCTTAACTTGTTGCCACGTTACCATAAAAGTAAGATAAAATGTATCTAAGATTTTTTAAAAGAAGAAAAAAAGCATTTTGTCTTCTTAAGAAACAAACAATTGACTCACCAGTGGACTAGACAATAATAATTACAGCGACAGAGAGAAAGCGTGTGTACTGGGGGAGGAAAAGTGACAGGAAATGAAGAAAACTACCACAAGCTACATGCCGGGTAGCCACACACTGCACCCATGTACACAAGGAGAAGAGAGAGAAGAGGGGGGTGGTGTTGTTTTGTATGTATAGCCAGATGGCTCCTGCTGGGGGTTCAAGTAAGGTAAATGGAACCACGGCTGACAGATTTGATTCAACAGCATGCACAAATAACATATAAACATATATTTTTTTTCAATCCATATATGCCAAACATAAACTTCAGAGCCCCCTCATCCCCACCTTTTTTTAACAGCCATGTACTTTTCTAAGCTAGCCAGTCAGTCAGCCAAAGAGGCCAAGTGTTAACCAGACTGTACCCGAAAAATAAACCCCCAAAAAGAAAACCTTGAAACAACAGTCATGAAAATGTAAGCTGATATCCTATAGATTTTTTCTTTAGCGACTACAACCAATAAAATCATGTCTGCAACACCAGTACCTCGATATCCGTCCTGTGCTTCTCAAATCTATAGCATTACAATAGATGCATTATGGGTGGAGATTTATCTTTTTTCCTTTTTTTTTTTTTTTTACCTCATCGTGACGCAAGACCGATAATAGCTTGCCACTTTCACCACTCAGTACAGTTGAAACTAATGACAACACCAGTTCCTGTGGTTAAAAGCAATGGCCAAAATTATCATTAGACTGCAAATTTTGGGTGGGTTTTTTGGGGGGGAGGGAGGGGGGGTGTAGAAGAGGTTAGGGTGAAAAACTACAACTACTATCAACCTGATTAAATTCCTTCAGAGGCGCGTGGTACGGTTACACATTTTCCGACTGAAGTTTAAGGCGCTAACTTAGTTTTAGGTGGCCGAAATAACTGAAATTCCGACTGGCAAAAATAAATAGATAAAATATTTTTTAAATGTAGCTATGAAGAGAGAGGGGGAAACGAGGGAGTACTGCATGGTAAAACCTATGCGTCATACGAATCAGGCTCAGTAAATATAAAGCCAAGAGAGAGAGAGAGAGAGACACACACACACAGAAAGGGGGGGGGGGTGTATATTTACCCGATGCGTCGCTATTCCATAAAATCAGCTGGCCCAGATGTGGCAGGCTTTTTCTTCTTATAGCCTATAAAGTTTGGAAGGCGTTTGTTTTTTGTTTTGTTTTTTAAAAAGAAGAAGAAGAAGAAGAAGAAGCAGGCCCCGGTTTCCTTTCGTCCGCTGGCTCACTCTTTCACTTTATCTCCGGCCGCTCGTTCCCCATCTCTATCCCACTCTCTCTTTCTCTGCCCGCTTCTGTCCCTTTGCAGGAAGTAAACGCAGCTCACATGAACAGTATACGGACTGCATTCAGCCTGACATCATGCAGCACTCGGCAAATAGTTCTTTTTAAAGACACAGACATTTTTGGACCCGCCAGGTTACTGTAGGTACTCTGTCCTACTGTAGTCTACGCGGCAAACGGGCAGTCGGCAGCAGCGGTCGGTCATATCGTGCGCCTTTACGGACACATGAACTCGCTGCACTCTGCGGGCTTTAAAGGTGTAGACTGCTGCGGAACACTTTTTAACGAGCTCACCGGACAGGTTCGCGCGCCTCCACCCCGCCACTAACGTATTCCTGAAAAGACAACACACTTGGGAGCACATTTGGGGGGCTATAAGTAGGGCAGGGGAGGGTTGCACGGCTCAGTGAGACCCCATTCGGTGTCGTCTACATGTGTGGTTACTTCACGTGTCATTATGCGATGACAGTCCGGGCTACATGATGCGCATGTGTGCCGTTCTGCTAAATTATAAGCGCCAACTGCTGGCGGTGTGACCTCAAGTCAACTTTTCTTTACTGCAGGCCTGTATCACGGTGTCACAGCACGATAAATCACTGCAGGAGCCTCCAGTCTACCACATGAAATCGCCATATTCGTTTACTTAGATTTTTTTCACAATGTTATACTATATTTACCTTGTTGATTTGAGTTATTTTATGATCGTCCAATCACATTTTTACTTTTCACTTGTAAATTTACACACTGCAATAGCAATTAAAATCAGTGATTTTACCGGGCATTTTAGTGATTTTAACTGTAGTTTATACATACACACATATATCAGGGATGTCAAACATAAGGCACAGGGGCTAGAACTGGCCTGGCACAGACTACAATCCGGCCCACTAGACTTCTTTAGAAAATGCAAAGGACTGCATAGATTTTGAACTTTTAACTGTATTTTCACAAGTTTTACAGCTTTTCCTAATGATAAAGACCCCACACCGATTGCCAAGGACATTTCTGTGAGTTAATGAAAACTTTATATATTAATTTATAATTACAGGATAGTATAATTAGTCTGTGCAGTGATCTACCAGAACCCTTTATGTGGAAAGGGATGAGGATGAGTTTTCTTTCACATTTTATTTTTAGATAAACACACACAGGTACATATATAACCTCATCTAGGCATGAGCACACAGCCACCGAGACGTGCACCTCATCTATACACTCCACAGACATGACACACATAACCTCACACAGGCACAGCAAACACAGCATAGACACAGGCCTGAACACACATGTGAGCCAAGCACATACCGATGGACGTATGAAGAGCTTCTATCTTTGGCCATGTTTGCAGGGTCAACATATAGTACTGTTTTTTGTAATAAAGCTGTTATTGTATGTGAGCATACATGACAGATTTGTTTCTGTAATGGCACCAGCATCACTGGGAGAGTACAGGTCAGGAGGATCCTAGCAAAGAGGAGGCTCTCTGTGAGATAACCTTTTGTGGTACCAGATTTATGGAGCAACAGTGGGTACAAATGTAAATGTGGAGAGGCTGTGTCTTTTGTATTTCCTCTGTAGCATGAGAGAGATAACCCACACATGAATAAATATCTCAAACTACTTGGAACTATCTTTTTCATATTCTCTTTCCTCAATTCAACCACCATCATTTAGTTTTATTGATCTGGTCCACTTCAAAGAGGGCTGTATGATGTAAAATGAGTTTACATTTACTTACAAAATACATATGAGTCAGTCGTTCTTCTCCCTTTTGATTTGTATATTCACGCATTTTTTAAAAGTATTAATGCAGTAGTTGTACGTGTCTTTGTGAAACTGGATAGAACGAGTGTAGATATCTAACTGCTGCCCTCAAAAATGGATTTGTCAACTTTAATAAACATTAAACTATAATTTTGAGTAAAATGCACCTGAAACATAGGAAACCAAAGGTTTATTTATTTCAATAATAAATCATTAAGGAAAATGTGCTTGCTATAACCTGAAAGAATACCAACCAGGCACATTTCATTTGACCAGATTCCACTAATTGTAAAATCTTACACTATACTTATATAACAAAAATGTACACGTAATTAAATTAGTCAGCACTTGGGCATTTTTTTCCAGCTGTATAAATATCTACAGGTGTAAATCAGCTTACCCGTTCCCCATTTTTTGCCCATCTCTATCAACCCAACTCTTTATGTTTATCCATGCAGGCATTTTGTAAATTTAACATTTGATATTTCTTTTTATTTTCACTTTCTTACGGGATAGTATTGTATGTATTTATATATAGATATAGATATATATACCAATTTGTTAGGTACTCCTGTACAACCGCTCATTAATGCAAATGTCATTAGCGAATCACATGACATGTATAATTAGGCATATTGGCACGGTCAAGACAATCTCCAGAAGTTAAAACTGAGCATCAAAATGGGGAAGAAAGGTGATTTAAGAGACTCTGAACATGGCGTAGTTGTTGGCTAGTCTAAGTATTTCAGAAACCGCTGGGATTTTTCCATATGACCATTCCTAAGAGTTTACACAAATGTTCTGAAAAAGAGGAAATATCCAGCGAGCGGCAGCTTTCTAGGTGAAGATGCCTTGTTGATGCCAGAGGTCAGAGGAGAGTGGGACAGACTGCCTCGAGCTGAGGGAGCTGCAACAGGAACTCAAATAATCTCTTGTCACAACAAAGTTCTGCAGAGGAGCATCTCTGAATGCACAACACATCAGACCTTGAAGCACAGAGGCATAGACTAAACAGCAGAAAATTGGAAAAATATTGCCTGGTCTGATGAGTCTCGATTTCGCTTTGTAATTTAGATGTAAGAGTCAGAATTTGACGTGAACAACGTGAAAGCATGGATCTATCCTATCATGTATAAATTGTGGTGGTTTAACAGGGCAGTGGTTATTTTCTTGGCAATCTTCCGACCACTTAGTACCAGTTGAGCATGCTTTAAATGATGCACCCTGCACGAGTATTATTGGTCATGATGTCCACAGTGTATCCATTTTCTGCTGGAAGCAGCTTCCAGCGCTGTCAAAAGCTCAGATCATCTCAAACTGGTTTCTTCAACATGACAATGAGTTCACTGTACTCACTTTCATGAGCACAATAGGGCAGTAGTCATGACTGCTGTACTGTACTCATGACAGTTGGAGAAATGTTTCCAGCACCTTGTTGAATCTGTACTGCGAAGAATTACATTTTCTGGTGGCAAAACGGGGCCCAACCTAGCACTAGCAAGATTTAGCTAGTAAAGAGGACAGTTAGTGTAAGTATTTAAACGTATTTCAATTAGTTTCCTTAACAATCATTGCTACATACACTAACTTATTCCATGATGACAAATAACTTAGTCCTGTGTTATTTCAGCATAAGGGTATATACGTTTATATATGTTATAAAAGTCTGTGGTAGCACTTTAATATTCCTAAGGTTAGGGGTATAATGATCTTTTGTTATTTAAGCACACACCTATTGTCATTCATTTTTACAAGGACTTTTGTTTTTCCCAGTTGTGGCTTTCTGCCCAGCCAAACCAGTAAAAGCCCTAAGTGTAGCCTAATTAAATGACAGCTTTTGCTGTTTGCTCCAGTAAACTGTCATTTTGCAAAGCTGAATGTTGAAACACGATATTTTACTTTCTGCACCGACAACAAAACCCGATCTTGTGTTTCGTACGCATTTCCATATTATCGGTTCTCACAAAGGCCGGGTTAAAAGTTCAAGATAAGAGCTGAAAAAATAGAAACAAATGCAAATGTCGGCGAAACTGAGAAGTCATTCAGTCTAAGCAAAAATAAATAAATAAATCAGCTTTTCATACAGAATGAAGAAATGAAACTGAACAGTGAATGACTTAATCATCAAGCCCACCTAAAGAGTATGTTGGCATCATGGGACAATTCATATTCTCTAGTTCTCTGTGTAATTCGGGCTGTCACACTGACCTGGCTCAGAACATGAGGCATATGATGTGTTGATCCAATGAACAAAAGCTTATTGTTGCTCTGATTAGCCATTTATAGGCCTTGTGGGTCTGAAGCATGTCTCAGTCAGCCCACCAGCCACTGTGTTGAAAGTTCAAATCTAAAGTTGGCGCTCTGTACTTCCAGCCTCTTTTGCATGCTTTCCTAATCATAGCTATCCAACCTGATGCTTATGCATGACAAGAACAAAAAATAGTTAAAATCTTCAAAGCAAACCCAGGTTTAGAATTAAAGTACTCATTTCAGTGCCTTCATTAGTTCCAGTAAGGCATACTTCATGGTATGTGAAAATGAGGCTATATAAGGTGATTGGGGCACAGCCATCTCCATTGTTATGCTTGGCACAAACAGCAGGATCTAGTTGTGGTTGGTGTTTGCGTGCTGGAGGAAGCTAAACAGAGAAGTCTGTCAGAGCAGCTCCGAGACCATGTGAAGAACGACTGATGGAACACTTGACCCAAAGCCGTTTTCAGTTTGAACTGTCACACACTCTTATGACACAGCTCGAGGCATGCCGTCATGAGTGTTAGACTACACAGTAAACACATTCATTTGGCCATGCATTGTAAAGCACAAACCAGCTCATGGACAAAAAGAATTTATTAAACAGCTTTAAAAAAAATGTTTGTGACTCAGGCTATACCCTTTGCCCTATTTTGCCCAAAACATATAAAAAACACAACAAAAACTTTCTGATGCAGCACATTCAAGGCAAAAAACTCCCAAAACATCTTACCTGATTTTAATTTGGCCACTGCCATCTCCTTGTTCACCTCTCCATCACTTACAGGACTTCTGCTATTTTCAGATTGCTCTCTGGAAGTCCTGTGTTTTAAACACTTGCCCCCTCCACGGGCTTTAAACTCGCGCAGAAAGGGAACGTCAATACCTGTGTCATCATCTGTCATCTAGCTATGAGACCAAGTCTGAAGGCTGGTTGCAACTAGGAGCACAGGTGTTGCTTATTTCCTGTCGCTCACGAGGTTGTGCACCATCAGTTCGCCTCCTCTCCCCTCCCCCAGGAGTCAGACTGTCTAAAGGGAGGACATTCAGCACAAGCAACCTCAAAGCTGGGGTTTTTTCTGGTCATACCAACACAGTTGTGGCTTTCCATCTGCCCTCCTCACCAGATTTGGATTTTTATTACTTTGAACACTTCCTTAAACTCTAACTCAGAGTAAAGCGTCACTGTTTTGACACAGTGAAGAAGATCCAGTGCACATCCCAGATTCGGGCGGGAACAAGACTTCCAGGGAGCATTCTGAAAATCACAGGAGTGTGCAAAGGCTTCAAGCACCAAATCAACAGACAGTGGCCAAATTTGAATCCAGGGAAGTTTTTTTTTTTTTAATTCATCAGGTGGAGTCATTTAACTTCTTTTTTTTTTTAAAACTGTGCTTTCTATTTTACATTGTATTTTTATTTATACACAACATCATTTAAATGCACTGATTCATACACAGTATCATGACATCCTCTTTGTGCTCCAGCATGACTTTTTTGTGGCACAGATCACTGACGTGCATCCACAGTCACGATGCACATCAGTCATCTGTTAAGTCACTCCTCCATGCAACAGACTTTAAACAAACACATTCCTAGACGAGATGTCCTTTAAAGTCCATTAAGACGGTTTACAAATGGCACAAAATACAAGAATAACTTATATAAAGTCACAAGTCTCACTCTCATTTTTGACATTTCTAACTTCTCTGAAGTATGCAGGACTGACATTTTTTAAAAGAACAACTATTTAACTGTTTAAGCCACGCAGGCTGGTTTAAAGATCGCATCAATGCTTCTGATGCTTCTTATTGGATTTTAACCGTATCTACAATAAACCAAATGAGATTTTGCGCCTTTCTGACTACAGCCGAGTCAAATATAAAACAGAGTATTTGAGTGCAAAACATTCCCATCACATGCCACATTTCTCATGTTTCTCATGACAGAGCTACATATCCACGAACACCATTAAGCACCAGCCGAGTCCCCCCACCAGAAACATGGTGATCTGCATGCTGTATATAATCAGGTCATTAAGCACACCCAAGTCCAGTCGCCGGTGCCCCAGCAAAAGCAGGATGACAGACAGCTTGTATTGCAGGCGCAGGAGCACACGCACGCTGATGTACTGCAGGAAGAAGAGCGCAGAAAGCGACACCCAGAGCAGAGAGGTCAGCAGGCTGCAGCCAAAGTAGAGCAAGAAGCGGAGGAAGCTGTACATGCAGCGTGAGCGCAGGTACAGGTCAAAGTTATTGTACTTAGTCCGCACTAGCTTGGAAGTGTGTGCCGACCCACAGGCCGAGTGCATGCAGGTGGTGTGGGGGCCATGGAAACTGCGCACCCGCCGTGGGATGGGGATCACAGGCATGGATGGGCTACAGGAGCCCAACAAAGTGCACTGGAGTCCTTGATCCAGATGTGAAAGCTGCTTCAGGGGAGGCAGTCAGCTTCATGGGGAGGGGATCCAGGGTGCTCGCTTCCCTCTGCTGTCAGTCAGGGGTTCTCTTTAAAAATGGAACAAGGCTCTGTGGAGAAATTAAGATGTTAACATGCTTTTAAATGCACATTCAAACGGCACACACACCTACAAGAAAGGCAAGCTTATGCAAACAATACCCATAGATATGCACGTTGAAAAAGACCTATGTATATTTAAAAAACTTAAGCTAGTGATCATTTTTGGATGATTAAAACATAGCCACAGCATAGTATATGCAACCCCAAAGCATCCTTTCTTCATATTGTGGTCTAGAGCTAAGTAACAGTGCAGAATCTTACATGAAACACCGAGACGTCTTCCTCCACAACGAAACAAAATATCAAGGCTGTTTGACTCGCATACGTCCAGAGGATTGCATCACATTATTTAAAATTTCCAGCAACATGCATACAAGCTTTATTTTCCTATTTTTTTTTCTTTCTCAAGATAAACCGTGAAGGCGGCAGCGAGCCGGCGCGTTTACGTCCTGTCGCAAAATATACGAGTCATCCTGCTGTGACGGCAGAAGCCGACTTAAAGGGGAAGTGCTCCTCAATAAAAGGAGCTTGGTTTAGATTTGTGCTTGTTTGCTCGTATGTAATGTTCAGCTGCTTTGCAGTTATTTTAGCAACCACGTATTAGGCAAGTATTACGTATGGTTTGCGCAATATGTCGACTGTAGATATGTGTGTAGGCCTACTACAACTCGAAGGCTAATAGTATTAGTTTAAGCTAACTTCAAGGGTCAGAGTTTCACAACCATTTGGCCTTTAGACCACATTTCTTCAGCATGAATAACGTTTAGAAAAGCAGCACACAGTTCCTGGATATGTTTCAGTCCTTACAGTGTGCAAATAAGATCCAGGAAATATCACATTACCATTTTATTATGTTTTTCTTTCTTTTTTGTTGTTGTTTTGCCTCTATACACCATCACAATGGATTGTAAGTTAGCAATGATAATATGTGATTGAAGTGCAGTGTTTTGGTTTTAATTCAAGGTGGGGTTTTTTTTGGTTTTTTTTTTTACATAAAATATATATATATGGAGTGTCCAAGTTTAAATTTTTTTTAGTACATCCTCAAGATGTGAAAGATCACAGAAGGTAACTACAGTGCATGATGACAGAATTCTTTCCATGGTTAAGGAAAACAACTGCACAAGTCAAGAACTCCTACAAGGAGGTAGGCGTATGATTGTCAATGCCTAAAGTCGAGAGATGCCTTCATGAATGGAAATACACAGGGTTTGCAGCAAAGTGCAAACCACTGGTTACACTCAAGACTAGGAAGGAAGTAGGTAAGATTGTATTTGTCGGAAACATTGTCAGCACAGTTCTGAAAAACAAACAAACAAACTTTGGACAGATGAAACCCAGAGTAACTAACACCAAAATGATCATAAGAGATAAACATTGATGTGAGTTTGGCCGATTAAATTCGAGCATCTGAAAATGGAGGACTGTGTATAAAACTGGTTGCAGTTCTAAAAAGTTCATGCAGAATTTTGCATAAAACTCCTTGAATTAACACGTAAAGTCTGCACTTCAATCACAGTCACATAGTGTATGATTTGAAATCCACTGTGGTGGTTTATAGAGCAAAACTGCAAGAAATGCTGTATCTAACTGTGTGTTCACAGTCACCTGGATGTCTCATTAATCAGATCCGTTCACAAATATTCTGAATTCCTTAAATCTTGCCCTTGACAAATGCCCCCCTATTATAATCAAAGTTATAACAATGTGAGTAATGTAATGTCAATGAAAATATAAAACTGCAAGAACACAGCTAGTGCATTAAAAAAAGCATTTTCAGCCTTTCTGAATACTGCTAAATAATATATATATATGTA